TTTTGTACTTTCAAACATTCATTGATTATTTCTTTATTTCCACTTAAATAAGACAAAGCAAGACATCGCTTTGTGATTGGAGCGTATCTGTATTTTTCTCTAAGAAACATAAATGAACGAATCGAACCATGATAACAACATAATTCTAACAATGTATATCCTTCTTTATTTGGTGGATAGAAGCAGTTATCTTTCAAAGTTGGAATTTTAAAATATTCTTTACTTTCTGTGTAACTCTTTAGGGATTCAACGTTATCGTCCATGATATATCGAAATATTGTATTTTCTTCATGTACATCCGGTGAATAATTTTTAGATTCGTAATCTTTGAATAATTTTGCATTGTTTTTGTCTAATACGATGCCGAATGTTTTGTTAACAATATAATCAAATATATTTGAAACACCGTTAATTGATTCTGGATGATATTCGTCGTATATCTTTTTGAATAGAGTCAAATATGACTTTATATAACGATTTCTGTAAATAATAATGATAGAAATTTGTTTTATGATTTGTTCTACTGAAATGTAGTTGGTATTGATTAAATAATTTCTGATATTTTCGAAAGTATTGGAGATTTCTTCGTCATTTTGTTTCGGAAGCTTGTACAATGAATCAAAACAGTTATTATAATCTTTGCAAATTGTAGTTAATTCGTTGTGTTGCACTTTTGATGCATCTTGATCGGACATAAAAAAAAATAAAATAAAAAACACAAAATCTTTCATATGAAAAATATAGCAATTTTAAATAACATTAATGATTTATTCAATAATTGTTTATTTGTAATAAACAGAAATTCATCAAAAGTGACAGCTCTCAATTTTTTGACATTTGTAAATTCTAAATTGAATGAGAAAAATGAAATAATACTAAGCATAATACAATATTCTAGATTTAATTATAATTAGGAAAAAGTTAGTTTTGAGAGTACTTTTCATAGGCATATAGAATGAAATCTTCTGAAAAATAATATCACATAAACTCATATTATTTTCTAATATATAACTATTTTATATAAAAATCAAATTCAATGATCTTAAAAGCGAAGGATAAACCTCAAAATTTACGAATATAATGAGTGGGAATATAATGCTTATCTATCATAAAACCATATGAAATATCAATTTTTGCTTTACGCCTAATTTTTGACGACAATTAGCAAAAAATGTTAAATGTTAACACTCAGTCCATTTGAATATGAAAAATAAAATTGACTTTGATTAAATGCTTTTATTTATCATGCAATTCTTCTTGCGACCAAAGATTTGAATAAAATTTCAAAAAATAAGATAGCTTAAAAAATAATATACGGTAGTGTTTACTAATAGATGAATAGTATATAAATTCTATTAAAATGGATTTGATCAAAAAAAATATATAAAATTTGATCATAAATAAAATCGTTTTAAATTACTTCTTCATTTAAATTATAACTATAGATCCGTATTTTTCCCAAGTGAGCGGGGTATCTCTAATCCCAGCCCTATCGTCCTCCCAGTGTCAGTTTTTAATATAAAATCCAAAATTTTTTTAAAAATAAAAATTTCGAGAAATTTTTCTAGTTTTTTTTTCTTTGATTTCAATAATTCAAAATAAATTTTGGAGTAAAAAGACACTATTTAATGAAATTCATATGAGTGAATGTGGATAAATACTCTCAAAACATACAATTTATATATTTTTTCTTTATATTATCAACTAATTAGTGATAATTTTTTTTGAATCAGATTTTTTCATTAAAAATATAATATATAACGCAATAATGATGTACACATACGCATCTACACATCAAAATATAAAGTTTGTTTTGGTCTGGGCACCCCAACCCAAAATTCTAAAAAAATTGAATAAAATTGAATACTTGGGGCTGGGATACCCAGCCCGAAACCGAATTGAATTTTTTGAATTAAAGAATATATTTACGTATTTATAATATATATGTGATGTTTATAAAAAATACTAAATTTTTGTAAAAAAATTCAATTTATTCAAAACGTATATTAAGTGATCACTTCATTAGTAGGATCAGCGATCCTACTAAATGGTGAGAATGCCACTAGCTAAAAAGGGAGTCCTTGGAGCTCTTGATCTCTTGTCAGTAGAGTCCATAATGAGGCATGGCATCTACTGATTAGAGATCAGAGCAATCCTACCTTACCTTCAGGAGCTACAAAGCTCCTAATCGTTACGAGAGGGAGCCTTGGAGCTCCTGAAGCTCATCAGCAGAGGATATTTACCATTTGGGCCTCTTTTGATGAAAGATGCGAAGCCCATCTACGAACCAGGAGCTCCAAAGCTCCTAATCCTTACGAAAGGGAGCTTTGGAGCTCCTGAGTCTTCATCAACAGAGTCCCAGTTGATAAATATTCTATGCTGATGAAAGATGCGAAGCACATCTTCGAACCAGGAGCTCCAAAGCTCCTATTCCTTACGAAAGGGAGCTCTGGAGCTTCTGAAACTCCTCCTATTATAAAATAGGACAGTTTTCTTCTGAGGCTTCTCATCAAATCTAAGACTTCAGAAGAAAGCTGTCCTATCCGTGTATACTTACATTCTGATGGACTACAAGTGTACAACTTTAAGGCAGAGATTATCCGAGGCCTCTCATCAAATGAGGGACCTCGGATAATCTCTGCCTTAAGTAGTCAAATAGCTTTTCTGACTATTCAGGGACAAGAGAACAAGAGTTGGAATACTCTAAGGCAAGGTTCTTCCGAAATCTCTCATCGAATGAGAGACTTCAGAAGGACCTTGCCAAATCCTTGAACACCGATATCCTTGGAACCGAGCTAGGACCAAGGAGAAGTAGTGTACTATAGCGCACGATGGCAATCTCGGAAATACTTATATTGCCACATGCACAATATCTATTCAGCCTGACTCCTATATACAAGAAGTCAGGCAGAATAGATATTGTGCATATGATTTGCAGAACTCTCATATATATAAATTTTTGTTATCCCAAAAAGGTGACACTTTGGGTGTATCGTCCATCCCAGGGATGCAAAATTCACATCACCTTGTATCTATAATTATAACAATTATTTTTGGTTTTATATTTTTTGGATCAAATCCATTTTAATAGAATTTATATACTATTCATCTATTAGTAAACACTACCGTATATTATTTTTTAAGCTATCTTATTTTTTGAAATTTTATTCAAATCTTTGGTCGCAAGAAGAATTGCATGATAAATAAAAACATTTAATCAAAGTCAATTTTATTTTTCATATTCAAATGGACTGAGTGTTAACATTTAACATTTTTTGCTAATTGTCGTCAAAAATTAGGCGTAAAGCAAAAATTGATATTTCATATGGTTTTATGATAGATAAGCATTATATTCCCACTCATTATATTCGTAAATTTTGAGGTTTATCCTTCGCTTTTAAGATCATTGAATTTGATTTTTATATAAAATAGTTATATATTAGAAAATAATATGAGTTTATGTGATATTATTTTTCAGAAGATTTTGTGTTCTTCTTCAAAATTTTATTTTTTATTAAAAAGAATCTTTACAAAATATACATTTACTTTAATTAATATTTAAAAACGTGCTCTATCAAAAGTTCCAAAAATTCAATATTTTAGCTTTTCTGAGGTGTCACTTTTGATGAATTTCTGTTTACAACAGTTTATTAATTAAAAACATCAAATTTGGGAGATCTTTTGAAATTTACAAATTAGTACTTACATCATTTTTAAAAGATGACGCTTGTACCTAAACAAAATATGACATGAAAATAGGAAAATCATTTCAAATAACATGTGTACACCCAAGAATTCTTCGATTTACTTATATCAATATTCTATAAAATGTTGATATTTTTACGTTTTACATGGAGTGCAAAAAACGCGCAAAAACAATTATTTAAAATTGAATCTGTACATTTTTTGCACATGCAGGAAAACCCAGATTTTATAAGCTATAATATTATAATTTATGATACATGGCGTAGCATCCCAGAACGTCAGAGATAAATTTGGCTATGTCATGTTGTAGGATGTAAAAATCACTGGTTTGAAATATGTGTTAAAGGAATTTACTTTCTTTAATGTTGAATGAACAAGGTACTTCAATATGAAAATGAGTCATAAAAATGTCATGAAAAGAGTCAGTGAAAATAGTGATTCATTTCAATATAGTCTAACGACGTATACGCCTCTTATGGATTAAATTACGTCCTTCTGTAGGCAAAATAATCTTTGTACGATTTGGAATTTCACATAAAAATGAAGAATATAAATTAGGAAGAATGATTTCTGTCATTGACTTTGGGTTCGTAATATTATTTATATTTGTTGGAAATGTATTATCTTCAAAATGGCAATCACTTGCAGTTGGTGATCCTGAAACAATATAAAATAAATTAGAAGCATTGTTTCCTTTGAAGAAACATTGATTTACTGAAAGTGTAGCATTATTAGTCAGATCGAAAATTCCTTTACCAGGTTCTGAAACTTTGTTATCAATAACATTACAAAAATAGAAATTTTGTGTTTTAGCACCAAGATAAAAACAACATTGTCTATTTGATGAAATATTATCGAAATTACTATAATTTGTTGTTGAAAGAGAAAATGGTTGATAACTAACAAATGCTGTATTTATTTTTAGTATTGAATCTGAGATATTTATTGATGAAAATAGAATAAGGTCGCCAAAAAAAAGTGCGGAAATTAAAAACCGCAGTTTGAGTACTTTCTGAGAGTCTGTTTGTCAGAAAGTATACATTTGTAAACTTTCTGACACTAAAATTTTTTGGTCCTTTCAAAGTTTTTGACAATGTCAAAAAGTATACATCGGGGCTCTCAATTTTCCTCTCAAACGGCGGTTTTTTAAAAACGCTCATTTTTTCATCGACCTTAGATCCATATAAATGATATAAAACAGAATTGGTTCCTGTATTTTGGGTGAATGATGATTCAACAACAAAATTCTTGTGGTTATCATCATTTGTCACACTAATAAATGAATGAGATCCTAGTCAATTTGAAGCTGATCCTGTTATCTTAGATTCATAACTACAGACTTTGTATTGAACGAATGATCCTGATGATTTCATAAGTATGGATCCTCCATCCTTTTCATTAGAGGAACATTTAAAGAAAGATGAAGTTGAGACGAGAACTTTTGTATCAACAGTTGCATTAGTGATTCGAATAACACCTTCATTAATAAAATCTTTGAAAAAAGCGTTATCAACAAAGACGTGCTTGTTATCAGTGACTTTACAACTTGTATTATCAACTGTGGGAATAGATGCATTATCATAGAATCTTTTCCAGATATCATTTGATGTTTCTGAGAAATGAAAAGATTTATCTCTGCTCTTATTCATTTCATTTTCGTGAGATCTAGATGATACTTCCAAATATTCAAAAAAGCTGCTAATCAAATAGAGAAAGTAAAAAGTAGTTGTTATCATAAAATATAGAAATTCAAAATTCTAAAGTTTACTTGACAAAAAATTTAATGAGAAAAATTTGAAAAAGATGTCATGAAAAAAGTGAATCATTTCAAAGAGTCTAACGCCGTCTGTACCAATGATGGATGATTTTACGTCCTTCTTTAGACGTAATAATCAATTTATGCTTTGGATGTTCGCATAAATATAAATTCGGAGGAATGATTTCTCTCATTGCCTTTGGACTCTGAATATTTCCATTCATTACGAATGTATTATCTTCAAAATGGCATTCATTTACAGTAAGTGTTGGCGATCCTTCTTCAATATTAAATAAATTAGAGGCTTTGTTTCCTTTGAAGAAACATTGACTTATTGAAAGTGTAACATATTAAGGACAGAAAATTCCAGAATTTTGTTGTAAAACATTGTTATTAATCACATTACAAAAATAGAAATTGTGTGTATAATCTTGATGATAAAAACAACATCTCCAATTATATGAAATATTATCGAAATTACTAAAATTTGTTTTTGAAAGAGAAGATGGATTCCATTTAACAAATGCTGCATTATAAAATATATTTGAATCAGAGATATTTATTGATGATAATAGAAGAGATCCACAATGAAAATATATAACAGATTGATGTCCTGTATTTTGAGTGATTGATGATTCAATAACAAAGTTCTTGTAATTTTCATCACTTGTAACTTTAGTATATGAATGAGATCCTGCTGCATCTTGATTTGTGGTCTTAGATCCATAACTACAGACTTTGTATTGAACAATTGATCCTGATTCATAAATATATATGGATCCCCCATAACTTGCAGAGGAACAATTAAAAAAAGAAGAATTTGAAACAAGAACTCTTGTATCAGAAGTTGTATTAGAGATTCGAATAACACCGTCTTCAGTAAAATCTTTGAAAAAAACGTAATCAACAAAGATGTTCAATGTTTTGAATGGTGGATGAAATTCGTCATCTTCTTCTAGCGCCGTCTGTGCAAATGATGAATGATTTTCCTTCCTTCTGTTGGTGTAGTTAACTTTTCATATCTATTAGATTCGGATCATTCAGCAAATTGATTAGCAGCTTTTATGAGTATATAGATGAAGCAGCTAACTCGGGCTTTTTTTTACTTCATCTATTTGATTAGCAGCTTTTATGAGTATATAGATGAAGTAGCTAGATCGCATGCTTATCAAATTTGTAGAAGAAAAGTGAATTTGTTTCAAGAAGTCTTGTGAAAAACTGATCGCCAATTGAAATCAATTCCAAACTGATGTTATTCATGATTTCGATAGCAAACAATGTTTCACCAACAAATGGCATGATGGAGGCAATGTCTTTAACTGTTTTTTCAATCATGTTTCGCATCTTTTGGTCTTCAATGACTATTTTGTTTTGATAAATCTTTAATTTCATGTTTGGATAAACCATATCAAAAATCATTGTGAAATAAGCAGAATGGACACATCCTGGACAGTCAATGAACGTGTAATTGTTCTTATCAGGGGAATGAATAAATGTGTAATTATCACACAAATAATAGAAATTTTCTGGATAAAAATTGTCAGAAAATCCTGGTCTTTTCTGGAAAACAGAAACATCACTTCTCTTTGCTTTATTACGTTCAAACTGCTTGACAATCTCTGTGTTGATTTGATCATGTAAAGTGTCAGAATTCTTAAGAGAAATGAGATATCTGATGTCACTTTTTGTCAAAAGTAATTCAAGTTGGCAAAATTTTCTGAGAGAAATTCCGATTTCTTTGATCAAAAGAATTCTGTTGTTTTCATTGGATTCAAATATTTGTGACAAACAGTTGATAATAGTAATGAAATCCGAATCCAAATTTGCATTCATCATGAGAGAATTCGTTTGGAAATCTGTGAAAAATCCCATATAATTCTTTGGCAAAAATTGAATGAGTTTGTTCAAAACTGTCAAATCTGACACTTTTTGTTCATGGAATCCATCGAATTCATCATCATTCAAGTAATCCTCAATTATACTATCATATTGTCTTTCTTATCTTGTCTTAGTTCTTTGTTCAGCACATTCCAAAATCAAATAATCATAATTTCCATGAACATTTGAAATTTTATACATATAATTCATATCATTTTTGCAGCCATTGATTGCGAAACTACAGTTCATGATTGCGCTCTGTGTATCTCCGAAAACAAACAAAACAAAAATGGAAGAATTGGGATTTTGCGTGTTAAACAAATTCAAATGTGATTTGATGTTCGAAAACAAAGGAATTAAACAGGATTTACTCTGACACAATGATAAAATGTCTTTGGAACTTGTTTCTGGTGTCTTTTCTGGTGAAATGACTGTTAAATTCGATGTTTGTTTTTGGAATTTGTTAATTATGTTCTGAACATCGAATAAAGAGTCAACAAAGTAGACAATCTTAGATCCACATCTATCTCTATTTTTAGTGGCATATGAAAGTGCTTCAATTTGCGATTTTTGGGAAAATTCAAGATTAATTTTTAATTGTTCTGTCTCAGAAACCTTGAAACCAACATCAATGGGATTAGCAAGTGATAGAATGAACTTAAGATGACGTTCTTTGCGTATTTTTCTGACAACATCTAAGATACTAAAGTATTTGATGTTTTTATGGTCAATTGCGTGGTAAACAATCATCATTTTAGGTGTTTTCTTACCATTGTTTGTATCATGAATGTTGTTGCGTCGAAAACTGAAATGAAAGCGAGAACTTGACGATCTTCGTTAAATGCTGTTTGTAAACTATTGAGATCTGTAACAATATCTAGTTCTGTGTATTGGTTATAGAACCATAATGCGTTTTCATGTATCAAACTCTCGTCATCTGAAGTAAAAATGATAAAATTGGTTTTAGTGTCAGTAAGTTTGAAAAGAGGGATGAGGATTCGATCACGGTACTCATAGTTGAATGTATAAACACTTGGATATTCAAAAATTTCATGTGTGTAAGGAGGATAGAAAATAAATGAGTAATGATCTGTTTGTTCTTGAGTAATAGATAAGCAAGCATGGTATAAAGCACGAGCAGATTGAACTTCTCTCTGGTCTTTGGAAATATCTATACTTTGTAACAAAAATTTTCCGAATTCTAAAAAGTCATTAACATTTTTAGTATGATTGCCATTGCTTGGCCTGCATTTAGCAAGTATCTGAGCATGTGAAAGAAATTCATCAAGGAAAGTACTGCAAGATTGTAAATTTTTGATATTCCTTAAAGAAGCTATACAATTAGAAATCAGTTGGCGAACTTTGTCCTTTGAATCTCGTGAAGCAGTAATAACGAGATACTTTAAGCTGGAATCACATCTACTTATTATATCCATAACAACTTTAAAAAAAATGATGTGAATAGAGGTATTTTGACTACCTCCGTTACAATTTTTTCTATAGTCTTTCAATTTTTTTAAATTTATCTAAGCACAGCACAATGAAGCATTTTGGAATTTTTGAAAGGAGTCAAAAATTTTCCATAGATTTCCCAGTGGCGCCAAGCGACGATATGACGATGAAATATGTTCTCAATGTTATCTCAATTCCTTCAATTAATTTCAAATTTATCGATCAAGCATAACGTCCTTAAGGCACCCTATTCAAAAAATGAAAGGGCCCATCTCAAAATTGAATGGGTATCATTCAAATTCTTGCCCATTTGATGAAACATTAAGTTTGGACTTACAAAGACATGTAAAAATTGTCTTGCTTGTATACGGGAATAGAAATTGAATAGGATATCTTGATACCTTGCTTGTGTAGGAGTTTAAACTTATTTAATAATAATAAAAGCTGTCCCTAATTCTATCTTTGCTTGAACCGCAATCTCTCCCTCTTCAATTAACTCAATATTTTTTTGAAATATTTTACAAATGTCACTTTTTATGTTTTTCGATTGATTTGCTTTTCATAGCAAATTGATTGATTAAATCCTCTCAAATATTATGTGCTCAATATATTGGTATATCGTCGACTTCAAATGGGGGTGTAATATTCTTATCAGATGCAAATTTTTTTCTTTCAATTGAGAATAGCATCTTTTCAGAATGTTTTTCCTCCCAAGAAGGTGGTGCTGTTTACATAAATAATTCTCCTACCAACTTCAGTTTTAACAGCTTCAAAAGCTGTTATTCGCTCCTCAATGACAACTCAAAGTTTGGAAACGCAATTTTTAATACAAATTCTCTTTCAAACCTAAATGGGAACACATTTGTTTTATGTGGTCCTGATTCCATACGAAAAAGTGATAGCTGCGTCTATATGAAAGGTAATAAGTTTGTTTGTACTTATTGTAATAGTACTTATTGTAATAGTTCTGATTGTTATGAAAATAGTGGTGCCGGTCTTGTCAGTTTTTGGAATGTTTTACAAGGCACTTTTGTAAAATATTGCCAAGTTAGTAAGACTCATGATGGATACTTCATTGAAATTGTTGATTGTTCTTATTCGATATACAATTCTAACTTCATTGATGCCTCTAATCTATATAAATTGCTTTGGGTTAGTGGAGGCCCTGCATATTTTATTAGTTGCGTCTTTTTGAATCCTGCTGGTAAAGCTATTGATGAGTTTGCAACTGTTACATTTACTGACTGTTCATCGGATGGCAATATAGCCGAGAGATCGGTTACTCCTTTCAAATTCTTGAATAGTTTATATGTACATGTTCGAAAATTGTAATATGATTGAATGCTCACGTTATTGCGATGTGTTTTCTAATTTTTCTGCAAGAAAATACATGGTTATTCCATATCTCATGTTCGTTGTTAATTGAAGATTAATTATATAGATAATAAAAGGAGTTATAACTGATTCGTATGAAAAGTGTATTCATTTTTCGCAGATTTGAATATTAAAATGAGCAGTTGTGATTTTTTCGGTTGAAATGAAATGATTAATTGAATATGAATAGTCAAATCTTAAAAATAATAAATGTGATTTGATCTATCAGAAGAATGTATAACGAACAATCAAATTATGTTAACATAATAACTGAATTTGATGAAAATATGTGTGATTGTAACCTAAATTCCAACAAAATCAAAATGATTTCTTTGAAAATCCGAAATTTTAATTAATATCAACATAATACAAGAACAAAATATAAATATCACTTATGGACAATCAAAGTTCGTCCTGCACGACCAAATACGTAACCTCTTGGCGAAAGAGTTGACGGTGCTGCATGATATTCGCTGGAACTCTGTACTTTCTTTTCGGGCCAGCGATAACCGATTGTTGGGCGAGGAGATCTAGCATGTTTTGATTGAAATTCAAATCTAGGACTGTAATTTCCAGCGCTTGGAGTATCTGGATCTCCATTGAAAAGATTTTTCCTTGGAGCATTGCCAATTGTAGCTGGAACTCTTCCAACACCAATATCTGTGCCGTAATTAAAATGATAGGTCTGAGGACTTGGAGAATCAATTGATTTGTCTTTGGGTTTCTTAGCACGTGGGAATTTAACACCATTTACCTGTCCGAAATCAGGTGGAACGTAATTTGGTCCTGGAGTTTGTAAATTTTTAGGTTCTTTATATTTTGAACCTATTGAAACTTTCGGGCCTTTACCAATTGTTGTTGGTAATGCTGCCAAAGGTGGATCATATGGTTTTGGATTTTTCATATATCGTGGTGAAATTGAAATTCCTTTTTTATCAGTGAATTTGTATGTTGGTGAGTAATCTGATGGTCCTGGAGTAGATCCTGTGTTCCCTAAGAAATAAATATTGAATTCTGCTTCCATACACTAAATTATAAGAGAAAAAGTGATATTTTGTAACGAAATTAATTTTTGAGGATTTGAACAACCACAATAGTATAAATTATCGAATATTATGATGTAAAGTGTGAATTCTATTTCAAATCTGAATATATACAACTATCACCAATCTTTTGATTTAAAAAAAATCTGAAATCACTTATATCAACGTATGACATCGATTCATATCTACCATATGTTTGAAGTCTACATTCATTTTGGCATAATTATGCATTCACTTCGGAATACATCATCAATGAATAGCAAAGATATAGAATCATCAAAAATTTGAGCTATATATTTCGAACACGTCTGGAAAATTGCTTATGTGCTCAACCAAAAAATGATTAAAAAAGAATTAATGAATTGAAATAACTAAACAAACAAAAACAATTTAAATTACTGAAGATGGAATGCTTCTTATTGCAGGTTTGAACAATCTCTTTTTCGAAGACCTTAAATGATACTGTCTCATATCAATTATATCAGATGAAGCTTTGGGATCTACGTATCTAACGGCTTTAAACTCGTTTTGTGACATAGAAAGACATGATTTAACTGAAAGATGATCAGAACTTGGCTTTCTACATATCGTTCTATCAGCTTCGTCGAAATCTTTGAGGCCGCGTGATGAAACTTTCTTTTCAACTGAAGGGATCTCTAATGTGGATTGTTCAAGTTCAAAAAATTCATCAACCTTTTTTAAGGAAATTATAGGTAAAATTTGGCTCGAAGGCATTGTTACTATGTTGTTAAGCCATGGGCTCTTAAGTAGTTCATCAGCCGAAGGGCGATCTTCAGGCTCCCTCTGAAGGATACCAGTAATTACAGATAAGCATTCTTCGGATAGATCTTGTGGGATTTTGTACTGGCAAGCTTTAATTTGCTTGGAAAGCTCATGTTGGTTTCTCTTAGTCCATGGCAATTGTCCGGTAACCATTGCGTAAATAATTACACCAACAGCCCAGATATCAGACTTTTTAGGGTCATAATCTGTGCCTTCTAGAATTTCTGGAGCAGCATAAACATAGGATCCGCAGGAAGTATGGGTTAACCCGTCAATAAATTTGGAGAAGCCAAAGTCAGATAGTTTGATATCTCCGTTGTTATCTAAAAGGATATTTTCAGGCTTTAAATCTCTATGGCATACATTAAGTTTATGGATATAGCTAATTGCTTCAAGGAGCTGTTTAGCATATATTTTGGCTCTTTCTTCAGGGATTTTTTTATTCTGGAGTATCTGTTGGAACATATCACCGCCAGTGCAAAGTTCAGTCACGATATAGTAATTCATCGTATCCTTCAATAAATCAAACAATTGAACAATTCTGGGGCTATGAAGTTGCTGCATAATACGAATTTCCTTTTCAAACTTTGATTTATCTATCATTGAATCAATTGTATGTTTTGTAATGATTTTGCAAGCGTAATATTTTCCATTATCAGGGCGATAGGCAACCTTAACAGTTCCAAATGCCCCTCGGCCAACCGCGTTTTGGAGTTGGTAAGGTCCTATTTTAACCGGGCACAAGAATTTGCGCTGCATTGCATTCATTCAAAACTAAGTGAAAAATTGTAAAGTACTGAATTTGTGCGAGCTACATTTAATTTTTGAATAGCTGTCAATTTCTATAAATTCAATTTGAAATTCTTAAATGAAATTACGTAAATATCTTGATAAACACCATTTTAGGAAACAATTATCAAATTCGTAAAGATTTTGAATAAGAATTTTGAATGAGGCATTTTTCGATAACTTCTCAATCAATTTTTGAATGTCTTATGAAATCCTGCCGCGCCTCTTTCAATTTAGTTTTGTTGCTTATTACCAAATAAAATTATATTTTCCGTAAAGATTATTGAAAATAATTAATAGCAAACAAAAGTTCACCACCAACAAATTTAATGATTTATTTATAAATGGAATATGTTCATGGGGCATGTATTGGCAATCCTATTTTTGCTCATATCTATCAATAAAATACTTCAATAATTTATTGAGTTTAATAAAATTAGAAATTTTTTACGTCGAAATGAATAATGTAATAGCTATCAGTTCCATCAGTGATATTTACCAATTCCCACCATAAATTTAGATTCTATTGACGAAATTTATTGATTGCTTTTTATTTGAATTGATTAACTGCTATTTAATTGATAGTTCTAACATACAATAGTTTTAACACATATTTTTGTCTCAAATGTATTGATTTGATAAAGCAACGTAAAAAGATTATTCAAACAAATTAATTCATTCAATTCAGAAATATTTTATATCATAAATGAAAATAGTTGTATGTTTGGATCCACAGCAAGAATTAAAATTCCATAAAATAACGAAGCAATAGAAATATAGTCTTGAATTTATGATTCTGTGCATTAAAATGCGCATAGAATGCCTGAGTATCTTATGATAGTTATATTTCTCTCATTAATTACCTATTATTTCCATAATCGAGAATTAAAGAGTTCATGATTTGTAATTTTATTAGATTATCTTTGCAAGAGATGTATTTGTAGCGTGTATTAAAGCAATTGATTATAGAATCCGCTTGATTTGAGGCAAATTTACTAAAGAATTCCAAATTTATGCTTTGAAAGAGTTGTTCATCTCATTGAAGGATTGCAAGTTTTGAATACAATAGAAATTGATTCTTATTAGCTGTCAAGCAAAACAAATTGTTTGAAATTATTAATTAAATAAATTTATAATAGTATTTTATACGTCACGCACTATAAGTCTTGATAATATATCAAAGAACAGTGGCAAATTCTGAGCAGGAACAGTACAAACAAAAGAATCAAAAGAGTCAGCGGAGATTACAATCTCGGCTTCAGCAGCAGCGGCTTTGAAGAGCTTTCCGAATGGAGTACTAACAGCATCGGAGAACTCGAACGAAGGGGAAACTGCAACAACGAGAAATTTGTCTTTCTCTTCATCTAAAATAGAAAGAATTATAGGGATTGAACCTCCATCTTGAATCAAAGTATCAAGAGCTTGGAGAAGGAATTGGCCGAGCTCAGCAACGGTTTGTGGCTCGTGTTTGAATGCTGGATCTAATGCATCTCTAACAGTAACAGTCCAAAAATCTTGTGAATTAATAATCATCGAATTTCGACGTGATAAAAGCTCTGTTCCGAACTTGACAATCGACTTAGCACGCTTTTTGGCTGCTTCCATGGAAGAATGTCTGAGTTCTGGATTGTTTAGAAATCTCATTCCGGAAAAAGTATCTAATTGTGGAAGAGAGTTCTCAGTTACGGTACACAGCTGAGCACGCAGAGCCAACACGACGTCTGCAGCTGAAAGCTCTGTCTCGTAGCCGCGTCTAAGAGTAAAACTTGGAAATGTAAATCCTGCAAGGTTAAACGTATCAATTTGGCGATCAAATCTTTCTACGATTGTATCTTTAACTTCGCTATCCATGACTATGTATGTTTGGCGAGCTTGTTTGAGCTTAATTCCTGTAGTTGCTAATAAATGTTGAAGATTCTCTTGTCCGGACTCAGTCCATAATCTGAGACGAGAAGCAATGAATGTACTAGCATGTAAAGATTCTTCTAATGTCCATTGACGAAGCAATGGGCATCGTAATTCTGTTGATGATGAAATTGCAAATTCTTGGAATACAGGTACTTGAATTCCTGTATCAGGTCTTACAGTTTCATCACCATTGTCGTCGTATATGACAGTAAATGGCTTGCCATTTGAAAGACGAGATACTTCATTTGAAATAATTTCGAGTAATGTTTCATAACGATTATTATCAATATGACCTAAGATGAAATGTTCTGTTAATCCGAGAATTGCAAACCATAAAACTTGAGAATTTGCTAAGCCATTTTCAACGGCTAGAGCGTAAGCTTGAATAGAAGCTGGATCAGCAAACGATTCGTTCATTTGCTGCTCCTCATCTGATAGGGTTGTATCAATTTGGTTCGCAACATCAAATACATTTACGAATTCATTTCTGGAATCGATATTGTGAGGATGAATAGGTCGATGACTTTCAATAATGTAAGCTTTTGTTTCAGAATTGAATGCTCCCTCGTAACGTGCAAGTAAACTAACAGCACCAGCACAGTTAATAAAAAAAACTGAGGAAGGTAAAGTTCCTTCTGTAACATGGGTTTTAATACAGCTATCCAATTCTGCATATCTGCGAACAAATGAAAAATGTGCTAATATATCATCTCGTTTGAATAAATCAAATAATATCGATTTTGCTGCTATTGAATCAACATTATAAGGAACGAAAACGAGAACTGAAACAGTTCCACTTGATGAAGATCTCATGATCTGGTCATATACAGTCCGGAGATCTCCGGATAAGATGATCATGAAATTTGGCTCACTTTTCGCGCCAAAATCGCTGGCCTTGTAAACGTACTTTCCGCCAAAAATAACTATTGATGAATATACTTATAGAGTATAATCCTCTATGTGAGTGATTCCTAAATATTCACTCACTATGTTAAAACAATGCTAAATATTGAATGAAAAATTAAATTATCTTCATTTGATTTCGTTTCTAAAGTATCAATCTTTTTAGATCGATTTATGATGTTCCTTAAAATTCTTAACTTAAAATTCCTTATGTTAGGGCTTGATATATTAACAAATGGTCAATTAATGGTTGGCTAGTATGGATATCAACAATAATTTTGTTGTGACTTCATATGTTATAAGAACAAGCTATTTTTAAAAAATTTGGTTGGAAAATATTGAGCAAAAATGAGGTAAACAAAAATTTGATCCAGGATCTCAATTTATGTGATTATCTATTTTCTAATTGTACTGTTTTGGAAACGAAAATCTTCAAATCGAAGGAAAATTTTTCAAAACGTGACAAAGTCCTCCGCCCAATCATAGAACGATAAAACAAATAAATGAGTAAACCTGAGGATACTAACCAAGAAGAAGATATTGTCCAGCTCGATGAGAACGAATTAAACATCTTCGAGAGTTTCTCAAAGGGCCCTTACTCTGATAAAATTAGGCAAGCAGAAAAAGATATCAAAGAACTTGCATACAAAATCGACAAGACTAAAGGCGTTAGAGATACTGATACTGGTCTTGCACCACAATCCCAATGGGACTTTGATGGAGATAAGAACGTAATTGGAAGCCAAGAGCCATTAAATGTTGCAACTTGCGAAAAAATCCTTCCCGCAGAAGAAAAAGCTCGCTATATTATTTCAATCAGTCATGTTGCTAAATTCGTCGTTGGTATCGGCAAAAATATTGCTCCATCTGATATTACAGAAGGCATGCGTGTTGGTGTCGATCGTAGAAGGTATGCTATCCAACTTCCACTTCCTCCACGTATTGATCCAATTGTTACAACCATGCAAGTTGAAGAAAAGCCAGACATTACATACGCTGATATCGGTGGCTGCCATGAGCAAATAGAAAAGCTCAGAGAAATTATCGAAATGCCACTCCTCCACCCAGAGCGCTTCGAAACCCTCGGCATTGACCCACCAAAGGGCGTTCTTCTCTACGGTCCACCAGGTACAGGCAAAACATTGCTTGCAAGAGCCGTCGCGAACAGAACAGAGTCCGTCTTCATCCGCGTTATCGGCTCTGAGCTCGTCCAAAAGTACATTGGTGAAGGTGCTAGAATGGTTCGTGAAATTTTCCAAATGGCTCGTAGCAAGAAGTCATGCATTATCTTCTTCGATGAAGTCGATGCCTTCGGTGGTGCAAGAAATAGCGATTCCGATGGCGCAGAAAACGAAGTACAGCGTACAATGCTCGAATTAATTACACAACTTGATGGTTTCGATGCCCGTGGTAACGTTAAGGTTCTCATGGCTACAAACCGTCCAGATACACTCGATCCGGCTCTCATGCGTCCAGGTCGTCTCGATAGAAAGATCGAATTTTCACTTCCAGAACTTGAAGGCCGCGTTTCCATATTCCAGATCCATACACGTGTTATGAGTGTCGAGAGAGGCGTTCGCTTCGATCTTCTCGCAAGACTTTGCCAGAATGCAACTGGTGCTGATATTAGATCTGTCTGCACAGAAGCAGCTATTATTGCTATCAGAGCACGCAGAAAAGCTGTTACAGAAAAGGACTTCTTAGACGCTATTAACAAGGTTATTAAGGCTTATGCTAAGTTCTCTGCTACTCCTTCATACATGCAATACAACTAAAGATAATCAACGTTATTATAAAAACTTTAATTATTGACAATTGAAATTTTACAAAAAAAAAATTATATTTTGTTGAAAAACTTTTTAATTTAGGCAAAATATGATGGAAAAAGAATGAGTGTGTAAAAATCTTTTCAATCTTTCATCTATATTTTCAAATACACTTATAATTGTATAAAACAATCTGCAATGTTCACAACAATAAGTATTATTAATCAAATATTAAATGGTTTTAATTAGAATCTTATGTGTAACTTGGTTTTCAATCAAAAATAGCTCTAAAAACGTAGAATTTCAAAAAATATCTTTACATTTTGAGTTAATATTATAAAATATGATGTGAATATCCATGTTATGTTATGTCAAAGATAGTTTCTAATGAGGGATGGCTCTAGAAAGTGTTAATTTTGCTTGAAATTTCCAGTTTTGTATGAAATATTAGTGTTTTTAAGATAAATCGCTTCAAAGATGCTATATTATAGTTTCTAAATTTCGATGAAAAAATGAAATTTTCAAAAATCGTAATAAAAAAATATGTGATTTTTCTTGTTTTATTTTAATATTTTAATTTTTTGGATTCCAAAACATCAAAATTATCAAAAATTAAATCGGTATTTATGCAGTATAAAATGTATAGGTTTTATTTATGATCTCCTGAATATAGGTTAAACAATCAAGAATGAAATGGATTCAAAAAAATATGAATGTATTGCATGATCATGTAAGTATAAGCTAGTTTTGGCCACATCATTATATAATTTTAGTTTCATTTATCATTTTATGGATGATGAATACAAAGATTTTGCATTTGAAATTCAAGATAAGGGAAAATTTGATAAAGAAATAAAATGTTCAGATACAGAATTAGATCCTAGATGGCTCAATCAGGATTTTCTTAAGAGACTCGATGAAATATTAAAACAAATCTCTAATTTATTCGACGATCCAGAAAACAATTTGCAAAATATATCAGATTGTTTCATGGAACTCCACAGCATGTTCACAGACGGAGCTAGCAATTGTTTTATCCCAAAATTAGATATTTTTATAGACAATTTCATGATTTATCACCTAGTTGAAATGGTGAAAAATACTGATATCATTGGGAGAAATCTGTTATTGATGACATTGAATCTAATTTTCGATTTTACAATGGGAGATATTTTTTATTCAAAACAACTAATTGAAGAAGACTACATAGATTACATCGTCCATCAATTGCAGATACAACAAGATGAAATTATTAATACAAACATTATTTACACATTGAATAATTTAGTTTTTGATTGTCCTGATGCTTTTTCAGAAAATATCATTGAAATTTTAGATAATACATTATACAACTCACGCGGAAGCGAAACTTTACCTATTGCAAAATTCATTCGTTTATATACATACAAATATCCAATTACATCATTTAACATTCAAGCTCATATAATCGCCATAATAAGATATTTAATATTACTAAGCCAAGAAGACATAGATGAGAACGTTGGATACATTTATATAAATACTTTAAGAAATTCTCCTGAAAACATGAAAATACATCCAAAAGTAATAGGTATAGACTGCGTTAACGAGTTTATTACTAGAATTACAAGCTATAATACAATTGAAGCAATGCATTTTTTATATCATTTAATTAACACATTTCCAGAAGTTCTTCCCCAGTTAAACATAGACTTTGATGACTTATTTGATAGAATAGATAAAGAAGATGCTGAAACATCAAGAACAATTTTTATTATTTTAGGATTAATTTTAGAAAAGATGGAAGTTGAAGAATTTGATTTAAATTATGTCAAATTCATCTCATTAATCAATGATTTGCTAGAAAATTCATCAGATGTTGATTTTCATTTCAAATCAGATTCTTTTTATTTTATAACCGTTTTCCTTTCTAAAGTTGCAATCAGTATTTTTTCCCAAATTAATTTGATTGAATATCTTAAAATGATTGAAAATTATTTTGAAAATACAGATGAAAATAACAATTTCAACTTAAAAGTTTGTTGTATCTTGAAGGTTATGCAGCCATTTATTGATAGTTTGAATGAATCTAATCAGAATTTAAAGGATTCATTTTATCAAACAATCGACATTGTTTTGGAATCAATTGATGATTTTATCGAGCCAGAATTAGATTCATTTAGACAACAATTTTGTCCAAATGATGAAAATTAAAAATAAAATTTTTTATTTGTTAGATATTATTATTAAATAAAACTTACATATAATTATCTGAGCATACAATTCCTTTTCTCGTATATATTACTTAACTTTTAAGTAATTTTTATTTTATTCGATTATTTTTTCAAAAAATGATACTAAAAGAGGAATACAAAGTTAGCCCTAAGTGAAAATTAATGCCTTATTCAGTTATTTTTTGAAGAATTGTATCAATTGATAAAATTGAATTTGCCAAACATGAATCGAATCGAAAGAAAACTTCTTTCTATTTGAAAAATTGAATACTCAAAGTATTGAATTAAGATTTAGAGGAATCAGCATAATATCACCTTACAAAAGCTTAATAAATTTACTAACATATGAAGAAGGAGTTTTGAACATCATTTAAATGGTACTGTAATGGTGATCTACAATTGCTGGGTTTATTGAAAGAAAAGTAATTATTTTTTTAAAAAATATTACCAATATATTAATTTACATCTAAATATTTTTAAACACAGATTCTCAATTTTTTTCTATATCCGATTTAATGATAAGTTTCATGTGAAATAAATTTATAGTGAAATAATGAATAACAATATGCGGAACAAACATATTGTTGTTAATAATCATTGAATTTATGCATAATATCAAATTAAAGCTAATCTTCCTTTTTTGAATTTGAAAAAAATTAATAAAAATATTGATGGTAATTCTTGCATTATGATTAATTTTAACTTTAAATGACATTCACAAGATTAATTTGTAGTAAAATCATTAAAAATATGAAGAGAAAATTTATCGTTTTTATATTAAAAAAATGTTCGATGTGTAATCGATCTTTTTAAATGAATTAAGATAATTAAAATGAAAGCCAATATAAATAAAAGCACGTTAAAATTATTGAAATAAATTTATACGCTTTTGAAATTTTTCAGTACTATTTTCAAAATTGATAGTCTACATTTGAAAACATTTTAGTACTGCAATTAATCTGCATTTATCAACAATTAAAATATTTCAAAGGAAAACTCTTTGTAATATAATTCTGTTATGAAATTTGAAACCATTTGATAGTATGACAAATTTTCAGGTATAATTATTCCTGATATAATAGGAAATGAGAAATATATTGCCAAAAGTAAGATTACGATTTTTCAAATCATTTTTATAAATTAAAAAATAATTAATGATGCTATATTTTTAATCATACTGATATTTTCTTTTTTTAAAAAAATACTCGAATATTTTCAATATTATTCAAAAATGCGATCATTATCGGTTGAAATAACCGTAAAACGTGCTTCTTTTAAATTCTCAACTATTGCCTAAATATATTAATAGTTAATGTTGAATTTTGATGAAAAAAAAAAAAAAAAAAAAAAAAGGTAGTGGGGCTTCCAGGCGCGTTGCGCCCTCTAGCCCTGAAGATGTTTAGTATAAATGAAGTTTTTATATACGGGTCTTCCAGGAGCTTTTCACAAATTATATATGTTTTCATGTTTTGTCACTTTTCTGTCACTTTTCGGGAAAAAACATTTTTATTATTATATATAAATGAATTTTACAAAACCACCGTTACCCTTCTTTGGAAATAAGAGTAGATGTAAAGATATTATATTGAGAGAACTTAAGAAACTACCGAATGGTCTAACATTTGTAGATTTGTTCGGTGGAAGTTTCTATATATCCCATTTGTGCCATACAATATTCCCAGACTCAAAGATTATATGCAATGACTTCGACAACTATATGGACCGTCTCAAACATATACCAGACACAAACAATATATTGAAAGAGTTAAAAGAAAAGATACCTATAGGTAAGATGGAACGTATACCATTAGATAAGAAAAATATTGTGAGAGAGGTTTTGAAAAAAGCAGAATATATAGACTGGGATAGTATATCTGCTAGACTATTATATAGTGGTTCTATAAGAGTTCATGACATTGAAACACTTATGTCAAACGTTTTATATCTTAACTATACAAATGTTTTCAAAGAGGACATAGAAAAATATATTGAGGGTATAGAGTTTGTGAGATGTCATTGGACAGAGTTGTATGAAAAATATAAAGACAAGGAAAATGTTTTCTTTATAGTGGACCCGCCGTTCTATAACACATGGGATTTTCAATACCAAGTAGACTGGACTTTGAGAGACTCTTTAGAAACTTTAGACGTTTTACATAACTGTCCATGCTTTTACTTTACATCCGATAAAAGTGGTTTGGAAACCGTTATGAGATGGTTAGAGGACATACATGACTATGAGTTTAGATATGACAAGATAGAATATGAGAGAGGTCCTATAAACCGGAGAAAGTGTCATAACAAAGAAATTTTACTAGTAAGTAAATGTGGTTTGAAATAGGACTACTTGTTTTAGGTTTTTTCCATTGTGTCATTTATTTATTTGACGTGGCAGAAAGATATAGAGAATATGAAGATGAACCAATGCCTGCAAATGTTCAGCATATGTACTCGTAAGAGATATTTTTATCTAATATTAAATGGACGCACAGAACTTAGCGAATGCACAGCAACCTGGACAACCAAACCCAGAGAATATTCCAAATGAAGTTAGAATACAAACTGCAATGGCAAACTATGGTCAAGTGCCAACAGATGTACAAATGCAAACTGCCATGTCAAATGACGCTGCGTTAGGTTTGCCACCATGGTATGCAAATATGAGATGGAAAGAGTTTTATACAAACCCTGAAGTGGGATATAAACAACTTTATGCAGATGACGCGAACACAGGAGTTGACCCAGAATATGTTTTCTACCAGAGGAGAAACAGAATGTATGAGCTCCAGTTAAAGAATGCTATGGAACTCAACAGGAAACGTAAAAGACTTGGCGGACATTAGATTTTTACATATAGTAAAATGGGTTTCTTCAGTAAGATAGGAAACTTCTTTCGAAATGTTGGAAGAGGTATATGGAATGGAATAAAAACCGTAGGAAGAGGAATTTGGAACGGAGTCAAAAATATTGGTAAAAGAGTAGGTCAGTTTGTTGGTATTATACCTAAAGACCCTGAACCAGAAGAACAAGCTCCTGTTATACAACAGCCTGAACCTGCACCACAGTCTAGTTGGCAACCAAATCCAACACCTCAACCGTATTAAAAAATTATATTTTTACCGTTCGATAGTAGTTGTATATGAAACTAAGTTCTAAGTAAAACGCATGGTATAATGGAATTATTCTTTTTCTTCCATCTGTAGTAAACCATACTTGAAAGTCTGAAATACTTCCACTTGGTGGTTCGTATAACTTTGTAGGTTTTTCGTAAAAGTCATTTGCCAAGCATAAGAAAGAGTTTTGTGCACCAGAAAATGAAGCATGAACGATAATAGCATCTGGGTCGAAAACATTTTCATATGTTCCATTAGGGTTTTCGACTTCATAAAAGTCCGGGTGTACTGGATATTCTGCAGGCTGATTTAACATCCTCATAAATCTATACCATGCCAAGCTGTTATATTTTGTAGAAATATAAACGTTTTCTCCAAGGTCTTCTATTCTATTGATTTTAACAGTTGCATTTTTCCTGTCATAAATAATATCGAGATGGTATTCTCCTTCGTCAATGTTATACTGCTTTGCATATTCGATATAGATATCGTTTATTTTTTCTTGAAAAGCTTGAAGAGTTGTTTCTAAGTTTACAAGCAAACTAACTTGTAAAAGTTTTCCCTGTTCAAATTTCTCATACATACGTTTTTCTTTGTTATAGTATCGAACTTCAAAACCGACCGTAAATGGGAAACCATGTATGGCTTCTGAAATGAACTTCATTCTACGAAAGCCAATAGCTTTTGTGACAGATGGGTCTCTTAACCATCTTAACGGGTAGTCAAAACGATAGCCTTCATGCTTTACGGTCTCTGTCTCAAACTTTTGACCGACATTAGTAAAAAGTTCATCTAATGGTTTAGTTGTAGCAACTCTAGAATTTTCTTTTTCTATTGAAAGCATATTTTATCTAGAATAAAAATGTCAAATGAAACAGCGTCTATGAGAGAAATACAACACAACCGACAACTCATTATACAAGCTCTAAATAAGAACACAACAAACTTTTCAAACTATTCTAAGATATCTGAGTCATTGAAAGAAGGAAACTTAAAACTGACATTAAACCCAATGACAGATGAGTTTCTATTTCAAGACAATAAGAACCATACTGTCTGTATAAATCCAACAAAAGGAACTTTAAACGAGAAACCTATAAATGAACTTCTTTTGAAAGCAGATGTTGACAACAAAGCTGACAAAGAATATGTAGACGATGCAATAGCAAAAGAAGAAGAAAGAGCTAACAAAGCTTATGCAACAAAAAAACATACTCATCCTGAACTAGCAGACAAAACATATGTTGACAATAAAATGTCAAGTGAAGTGACAAGAGCTGAAAACGAATATTCTAAAAAGACTCATATACATTCTATATCTGATATTACAAACTTACAAGAAACCTTAAACAGGAAAAGTGCCGTTGGACATACACATACCATTGCAAATATTACAAACTTACAAGAAACCTTAAACAGGAAAAGTGCCGTTGGACATACACATACCATTGCAAATATTACAAACTTACAAGAAACCTTAAACAGGAAAAGTGCCGTTGGACATACACATACATCTTCTGAAATAACAGACTTAAACGTTAGCCTTGAAAAGAAAGCAGATAAGAACCATACACATGAATTCTTCACAACTGTTGGTATAGAAAGTATTGAAGGAACGGTTGAAGAACCTGATGGGGATGTATTATATTGGAAACCTCCTAACTTTCCACAAGGTTTAACATCGGATGAAAACATAACAACGATGAAATACATTAGATGTAGAAATGTTTATGTCATGGAGGATGAAAATAAAGTTAAATTCACTGCTCAAGATTTATATGATAAGAAAGCAGACAAAACAGAGCTTCAAACATTAAAGACAGAAATACTTCAAACATTATATCCTATAGGCTCTATTTATACGTCAATGAACTCTACCAGACCAGAAGTAGTACTTGGTTTTGGAACTTGGACTCAAATAGTCGACCGGTTTTTGTATTGTGCAAACTCTTCAAAGGAAACAGGTGGAAGTAAAACGATTTCAGGTGAAAATTTACCTGCACACAGTCACTACATAGATTTAAGTACATCTCAAGCAGGTTGGCATAAGCATAGATATTGGGATTGGTCAGGAATGACAAAAGGTAAAGGATATGATGTTAAAGACAACGTTCAGTTTGCTATAAATTGTTACTGGAGTAACACTGAGGGAGGAGGAAACCATACACATCGCGTTTCAGGATATACGCAAACAACCGGACAAAGTAAAGACTACATGCCACCTTACATGACAGTTTACGCATGGTATAGAATTGCTTAGTCGTCATTTTCAACTTCTTTAGCATATTCGTCAGGAGTTGTCTTATATTTGTTAGGAACTGTCTTTGAAAGTATACCACCTTGAACTTTGACAAGTTTGAAACGAGGTCTGACAATAGTAGTTTTATCTTCTGCTTGCAGTGTGTACATTTTGCCATGTTTGCCTAAAACTTCATAATATTCTCTTGTATACTTTCTTCTATTTTTACGAACACGAATGTGAGTACCTGTCGGGTTCCCATTGTTGTCATAGTCAATAGTATTTTCATATGGGTCGCGTTTAGGTATTTCTATTTTTACTTTGTCACCTTTCTGAAGTTTGAAGCCCGGCATTCTTTCTTGTTTGTCTCTTTTGACTAAATTATTAAATATATAGTCTTTCTCTAAGTCGGGGTTGTTTTTCATTTCTTCGGGGGAGTGGTTTCCCAAACCTTTTTGTTTACGGTTATTGTAAATATTTAAAACTTGTCTCATCTTTGCCATGGAGAAGTGTCTATACTTGTCGTCATATGACATTTCATTTGCTTCACCACCTTGTGGTTGGTTTAAGTCTCTTAACATTTTTATACAACCGTCAATGACACCAAGAGCAGAATGGTTTTGGTCGACAATGAAATATTGGTTTACATTTTTTGAACGCAGATAGTTTTTAATATCGTCTGATTTGAAAGAACTTTCACAGTCAGATGTCAGTTTTGTTGGATGGTATTTGTCAACGAATATTGTCAAAGCAGTTTTCACATCTAAAATATTTTTGGACCATAATGGTATGGCTTCACAGTATCTTGTGTTTTGACCAACAAATATTAACCAGTATGGTGGTCCATCTTCTCTATACCTCGGAATGTTTTCCAAGATATCCATAAACCAAGCATTTGGTGTTGAACTAAAGATTTTTATCATGAGTGCTTTTTTTGTTGCTTTAGAAACATAGGGGTCCTTGTTTGGATTCGTCATTTTTTAACCCATAAGAAATGGGTTTATTTGGCGCATTAGCAGGAGTCGCATCTAGATTTTTACCCGCAGTGGGAACAATAGCCAGAGGTGTATTTGGAGTTGGAAGGAAGATTTTGAGTACATTAGGTATACTTAAAGAGAAAGCACAACCTATTATACAAACTGTACAGAAAGGTTGGGATGTAGCACGAGATGCAACAAATCTTATTCCAAATCCTGAAACAAGAGGAAAAGTTCAAGGATGGATGGACAATGTAGGAAGACAAGCAGGAAACTATTATAACAAAGCAAATGACTACTATAACCAAGCAGGACACTATATGGACCAAGGTGAAAGATTCTTTAACAGAGGATATAACCATGCACAACAGTGGGTAAACAATAACCAACCGCAACCACCTCAAACTTGGGGAATGTAAAATTTTTTACTGAGATGAAATGAACAATACAGCATTGAGACAAATGGGTTCAAGATGGATTTGTCGGCTTCCAGCAGTTACACAACGTGTTTGTCAAGTTCTTCCTATACCTCAGGAAGTTTTAGACCGACTTAAAAAACCTCAACAACTAGTTGAAAACAAACCAAACTAAAATTTTTTACTGAGATGAAATGACCGAAGAAGTTGAAACGGTAGATTTGACACCACAAACAAAAAGTTCAGAACCATTGTCAAAACCTGTCAAAGAACTTACAGATGAAGAGAAAAATTCAATAATAGAAAGTGCCAGGTCTGGAAATACAAACCCTAACTACAAAGTCACTTTTCATAAAAATGGAACGGCAAGTATCTCAAAAAAGAAACAGACTCTCACAAATAAAATATTGAAGTCCGAAGGAGCTTTCGAGACAACAGATGGAAAAGTTTACTTCACTGACCAACAGTTCATTATAGAACATCTCATTGACTTAGAGTCGAAATATTCTAAACTTTACAACAAACACAAAAAGTTGAAAGGAAAACAAAAACAAATGGCATATGATATTTATGAAGATGTTGACGACACAACTGTTCCTGCAAGTGAAGTAAAGTCAGCGGAACCGAAAAGTGACGAAAAACCGATAGAAGAAGAAAAACCAAAAACTGAAGATAAACCAAAACCAAAGTTTAGTTTCCAAACTAAACCAAGTCAACCTTCATTAGCTGGTATGGGTTGGCGTCAAAGACTTATGGCAGCAGGCGGTTATGTAAAGTAAAGAGAAAAAAAATATTTTTTTATTTTATTTGAAATGTACGCTGAGTTTGTTGGAGAAGACCGTTGGGAAACTTGTTTGTTAGATGAGAAATATGAAATGGCATACCATTTTAAAACAATATATTTTTACATATATTAAATGCTTCAGGTTGAAAAACAAAGAACAAAAGTAGCAGATACAAAACCGTTAGACTATATCTTTACAAATGCTGGTAGAACTATTTCAGATGAAGAAATTTCATCCCGAGTATACAGGTTTGACTATCCAGTTCGTTGGCTTCAAAGTCCTTCAGATGCAAAGGCAATAGGATTTAGAAGAGTTTTGTTTTCAAATAGAACTAACGCGTTTATGTTCGCAGTATATTTTCATGGGCAGTATAAAGGTTCTGATGGTCTAATAGACAAATTTGACGAAATGAGAATCTTTACAGTTCGTTCAGACGAAAGTCTTGAGAAAACTCTAAATGACTTTCAAACTCAAATGAACAAATATTATTGGGAATTTCAAGAAAAATACGACTCTTTACTAAATGGAACATACTATCTGAAACTAGAATATGACAAGATGAACTCCACCGTTTCATTTCAAAAGATTGAAATTAACCCTCCAAGAGATACAGAGTTTTTATTTTGGAAAGTAGACAAACGTTCTTGGGCACAATTTCTTCGGTTACTAAACCAGAACGAACCATTACCACCAGATGGTCCATTTAAATTTATACTTCCACCAGCAGATTTGACAGTTTATAGAAACGTGTTTGACCCTCAAAATGTTATGTGCCATGCAAGTTTCAGTTCAAGCAACAATAGTTTTCTATGTATTGGTAAGGACTTTTATGACTTTGCTTCTAAATTCTACGAACCACCTAGTAACAGTTTCTCTGACTTTCAAGTTTGGTTCACAACAAATGGTGTGCAACATATTCTTCCATTGTACTATGACTTTTATCTCGAATTGTCTTTCATATATAACTACGGAAAAGTGCTGAAAAAGTATTGAAAAATATATTTTAGGTGAAGAGGTTAGATCTCACCTCTTTTTTCACCTCTTTTTTCACCTGTTGAATTTTGTATAAAAACCAACCGCCGGAATTCCGGCGGTTGCTATATTCTTCACAAAATGCTTGTTTTGAGGTCGAGCCACTTTTGGCTCCACCGTATTCTTTCAACCAAAACTCATGAAATTTGGTCATTTTTCAGCAAAAATAAAGTTTAGGTGAAGAGGTGAGATCTAACCTCTTTTTTCACCTAATTTTTCACCCGTTGAATTTTCATGAATTTCCTTAAGATAGAAAAAAAGTGAGTTAAAATGAGATGTTTACTGAAGGGGTCACCATGTCACCGGGTAACCATGTGTCACCAGGTAAACTAACTTCTTTTAAAAAATGAGACAACATGACATTTTGACAACAGTCGGGAAAATGTCAAGACTTCTTCATCGTAACGAGTGTAAATGAACCAAAAATATATTTTAGGTGAAGAGGTGAGATCTAACCTGTTTTTTCACCTGTTTTTTCACCTGTTTTTTCACCCGTTGAATTTTCATGAATTTCCTTAAGATAGAAAAAAAGTGAGTTAAAATGAGATGTTTACTGAAGGGGTCACCATGTCACCGGGTAACCATGTGTCACCAGGTAAACTAACTTCTTTTAAAAAATGAGACAACATGACATTTTGACAACAGTCGGGAAAATGTCAAGACTTCTTCATCGTAACGAGTGTAAATGAACCAAAAATATATTTTAGGTGAAGAGGTGAGATTTCACCCGTTTTTTCACCTGTTTTTTCACCTGTTTTTTCACCCGTTGAATTTTCATGAATTTCCTTAAGATAGAAAAAAAGTGAGTTAAAATGAGATGTTTACTGAAGGGGTCACCATGTCACCGGGTAACCATGTGTCACCAGGTAAACTAACTTCTTTTAAAAAATGAGACAACATGACATTTTGACAACAGTCGGGAAAATGTCAAGACTTCTTCATCGTAACGAGTGTAAATGAACCAAAAATATATTTTAGGTGAAGAGGTGAGATCTAACCTGTTTTTTCACCTGTTTTTTCACCTGTTTTTTCACCCGTTGAATTTTCATGAATTTCCTTAAGATAGAAAAAAAGTGAGTTAAAATGAGATGTTTACTGAAGGGGTCACCATGTCACCGGGTAACCATGTGTCACCAGGTAAACTAACTTCTTTTAAAAAATGAGACAACATGACATTTTGACAACAGTCGGGAAAATGTCAAGACTTCTTCATCGTAACGAGTGTAAATGAACCAAAAATATATTTTAGGTGAAGAGGTGAGATTTCACCCGTTTTTCTCACCTAATTTTTCACCCGTTGAATTTTCATGAATTTCCTTAAGATAGAAAAATAAAGTTAGTATTTTTAAAAAAATATTTTTTATTTTTATTGTAAGAACATGTTAGCAACAACTTCACCAAACTCTTTAGTTATGAACCCAACTTCAATGTTAGTAGAGATGAAAAGCTTCATTCCTTCTTCATATACTTTTGAGACAGAAATCCAGAAGATAAAGCAAGAACTTCTCCAAGGAGATTTAGATTGCACTGCAAAAGATGAAACAAATGAACAATATCTTTATGAAATGCAGGACCTGGTGGAACATTTACCCAAATTGCCTGAAATACAACAACAAAAGCTCACTATTCCAGAATTCGATGAAATAGAAGTAAAAACAACCGACTCGGTAGAAATAAAGAAGTTCATACGTAAGGTTAACTATGAGTTTCTTGGATTTCATTGCAACCATAAGGTTATGGACAAAGACTGCGATATGGTATATAAGAATGTTTCTGACATATATAAATCTGAAGAATTTAAGACCTACGACAACTTTGTTTCGTTAGTTGCTGAATGTGTATGGCAGATAAGAGATAAAGATAAAAGATGTAAAATATGGAACGAACAAATAAAACCAACTGCTTCAGATTTAAAGAAAACCATTGACGCTATAGTTGTACTTGCAGGACAAATTTCAATGTACAATGCTAAAATGAACCCACAATGTTCTAAATGTAAAGCAGCAATGAGGAAATATAACTACTCCGTCAAAGAGATAGAACGTATGCGAAACGACTATGCTGACTTAAAGAAAGAAGCAGAGAAACCAGCAGAAAACAAAATGGACATGTTAGCATTTCTAAACAAAAACTATCCAACAGCTGACGATTTCCTTCTTTCAGATGTCAAGAAGAAATATAAAGAAACATTCGGCATTGTGAAAACATTCGATGTACTAAAAGAAGAAATCGAAGCCACAAAATTGTTTAGAATTTCAAATATACATCGTACAATTCATGTAAAACGCTTATAAAATAACTGAGGTGAAAAAAGAGGTGAAAAAAGAGGTTAGATCTCACCTCTTCACCTAAAATATATTTTTGCCGAATTCTGTATAAAATTCTGAGTAAAATGACATATGGCATGTGTCAAACCGTTGAGTTTTCACAAAATTTAAAAAATAACGTTTACCATGTAAAACGCTTATAAAATAACTGGGCTGAAAAAAGAGGTGAAAAAACGGGTGAGATCTAACCATCTACCCTAAAATATATTTTTGCTGAAAAAAATGACCAAATTTCATGAATTTCCTCATATGCTTGCTACCCTCGAAAAACCGAGGGTAGAGATTCCGTACGAAAATCGCAAGAATTTGCCAATAAATTTAAGAGGTTGGTATGTACATAGACTATTAGTAAATGCAGTTGCAGTGAAGGCTTACTTTACATCGTTCAGAAACCAAACATACAGACATTGGTTCAAAAACCAAAGCACACAAGAACTTTTGAGCGAAGAACAGCGACCCAGACTTTTTTCTGAAAACAGTGAAGAACAGCGAGTAGGTAAAAAACCCCGGTCGCCAAAACTCTATGAAAATCGTGAAGCACAGCGACCCAGACTTTTTTCGGGGTCGCCTAAAACTCATGAAAATCGTGAAAAACAGCGAGTAAGTAAAAAAACGTAGTCGCCTAAAACTCATGAAAATCGTAAAAATTTGCCATGCTGCTCTTCTGAGTTCGTCGGTATTTTGGAAGTGTTGCACCTTCGAGTCTTCTGACATGAAAAAAATGACCAAATTTCATTATATAACTGTTATTTTTTACGAAGTGAACTTTGACACTTCGTAAAAAAAATCCCTGAAATCATATCTTTTATACAAAATAGAAAAAATAACGTTAGTTTTTTTAAAAAAATATTTTTTATTTTGTATGTAAAGACAGAAAATGTTAAAGGTTGAGTTTGAAACAGTTAGAAAGATAGACAATGACACCAAAGTGGTTAGAATAGGTGATTTAAACGTAAGATACTCAAAGAAATACAACAAATATTCTTTGTCAGACATTTTATCTCCATCTGGAAAGAAACCGAAGGACTGGGTTGGAATTGCTTCAACTCAGAAAATTTTGACAAGAAATCCTGAGCTTATGATATCGGTAAGATTCTATGGAACTACAGCATATCTTATAGACAAAAGTCTTATACCAATAGTTTTGTTATGGTTAGACCCAGTTGTTGATATAACTTCATAACATATGGTTCATTCGATACGGAACGTTGCAGTGAAGGCTTACTTTACATCGTTCAGAAACGAAGGACTTCAACACAAAAAGATATAAGATAGGAAGAACATATAATATAACTCAAAGATATGACAGTACAGTCAATAGAGTCAAGGTTGTGTTTGTTAATGATATGAGAGCTGCTGAAACAGAACTACTTGAAAAGTTTGAGAAAATGTATGGTGCTCCACGAAAGGTAAAGAAACGTTTGAAGTAGATGAGATAGATAAAGCTATAAAATTATTTGACGAAGTTGCTGAAAAATACATGTAAAGCGTTTATTTTTGGTCTTTTGTGAAGTCAGGAAATAACGCTAGTTTTTTATAAAATATTTTTTTTATTTTGTATGTAAAGACAGATATGTCAACAACCGAGAACACAACAACAGTTATAGTCCATGAAGCTATAAATGAAGAATACGAGTGGGTTCAGTTTAACAAACAGTTACGTCTCATTCGTTCGGTCAAAGACGATATGTACCAAATGCAAAGTATTTTGACAGCATGTTTTGCTCCAGACACTAAACACGCAGACGACTGGTTCAGAAACCAAAGCACACAAGAACTTTTGAGTGAAATTTCTCTAGACCGACTTTTTTCGGTCTTGCATAAAACACATGAAAATCGTAAAAATTTGCCAATAAATTTAAGAGGTTGGTATGTTCATAGACTTTTAGTAAATGCTGTTGCAATATGGGCTTCTCCTCGTTATGCATGGTATATTTACAGACTTCTTGACGAAATTCATAGACAAGAACGTGAAGAGATGGAAAAGAAACTTCATGCAAAAGATGAAGTCATTGAAGCAAAAGATGAAGTCATTGAAGCAAAAGACAAAAGCCTTCAGAAAAGAATACCACGTTCGGTACCAAAAGGAAAGGAAAAGAATTATAAGTATATGATTTATACTGAAGAGATGGAAAATGAAGAAGACAGAGATATGGTTATGTTGCATTTAGTCAGAAGAAACAACAAAAGCTTTTACGACCTTGCTAAGATTTACAAATCTGACA